GTCTCCCACAGTACACACAACATGGAAATGCAATCATTTTAGTAAATATAAACTGCTAAATACATTTTCTCATCAGTATATAGCAGTCTTGTTACTTCTATCAGTGTCTGGCCAAGCACTGGTTAAAAAAAAAAAAAAAAAATTCCTCCTACAAGCTTAAAGAGGATGCAGAAACCCAGACCTCTGTCTGGCCAGTGCTGATTGGCCCTTTGCTGATCACATGCACTCTCCCAAGAAAAAAAAAAAAAACCTATAGCAATGCATACCATCATGTGATGATCATGTGCAGTGTCTCCACACAGTATGTCTTATCAGGAGGTAAGAGGGGAGAACTGGAAGGGGAGGATCAGAGAGGTCAGGATCAAACAGCCTTTTTACACACTGCAGAGGATTAACCCCTTAGCTTCCCCAGTAAGTATAACAAGCATGCTTTACTGCATATACAGACTGATTTTACTGTTGTGGGTTTAGTAACAAGTTAAATTGCGTTTTTGTTTTGTGGTGCTCAGATGCAGTGTAGTTCCGCTTTAAAGAAGAAATCGGTATTACCTTCCAATGATTTCTGTGGATACTCACCTTTGTGACACTCATCTTCCCTGAGAGGTTTTGCAACTGATAGAACCTTTAATGGGACAATATTTAAAACACACAAGAGTTTAGTTATGGTTTCACCAGTGATTCACACAAAATTTTTACCCAGGATTTAAACATTTTTCCAATTGAACCTAAATAGAAAAATGTGTGAATCTCGTGTGATTGTGTTATTTAAATAGACCGCACAGTGACACAACAAAGATAAAAATAAGGAATGCAGCTTAGAAGCCTCAAGCATCTTTTCAGGGTACCTGTCAAATATGTTGAGGCATTCTGTGAATTATGGTGTGGGGGGGGGATCTACTAAAACTAGAGCATGCAAATTCTGGAGCAGCTCTGCATAGAAAACAACCAGCTTCCATGTTTTACTGTCAAAGCTTAATTGAACAAGTGGACATTAGAAGCTGATTGGCTACCATACACCGCTCCAGTTTTAGTAAATCCCCCCATAGTGTACAAGTGCCCTACACCATGTAAAGCTATTGAAAATTGCCAAAAAATTAAAAGAGACAAACCACATAGTCACTTGGGATGAAAAATAATTCGAAATGGTAGCAAAATATACTTTCCAAAATGTTTCATAACACTCTTAATTGCAGATGATAGTGGATTCAATGGTCTCCATTCATCCAGCTGCAATAGCACTTAAAAAAGGTGATATATAGGTTGACCAATTATTTTTTTTCTAAATAAGAGATTAGCTTGACATGTGAAAATGGAACAAATTGCAGTTAATATGAACATCTGTCATTCTTGTTCATGACATACAGGCTCTACTTCTTCCATTACAGTGGTTGTTTTTTCTCCAACTCTTGCTTACATAGGTTGTTCACATTACAAGGGAGGGAATGTTTGCTTTAAGAAATTTTCTCTTAGTGAATGAGGTGAAGCTTTATTGACTATCATCCCTCATCTAATCATGTGCAAGCAAAAATGTAAATATAATTTCTCTTGTAAGACCCTGAATATGGTTTACAAAATTAATTTTTATCACATTCAGTAAGCTAAATGCAAACAGAAACTAGGCAAAAGGAAGTCAGAATCAAGTGAAACTGTCCAAATGCAAGCAATTTCTCTCTGATAGTTTTTGAAAACATGCCGTGTTTTGACGATTGTGCACACAATTCCTAATTGTACCATGACCTCCATCTAGTAACTGATTTGCAAATCTCAAAAACTGATTAAAATAATAGAAAAACATAAAAAGAGCAAGCTTGTAAAAGTACGATAAATTACTTTAAAGTAAACACTACAATAACAGTTCAATGGATGTGTTCACTATGGACACACTATATTTCCCTTTTGAGGTCCATGCACACAGGGCTTCAAAAAATGCCAGTTCTCTTGGCAGAAAAAAAAATTGCTCATATTAGAGCATTTTTGTAAAGGCGTTTAGAAGCGTTGAGCTTTTTTCTAACAGAAAGCTCATTTCAAATATGCAATCCAGAAGGGTTTTTTTCTTTCTTATTCTACATGGACACATAGGATAACATTGAGTTGCTTCTACAGGCAAGTGTACAATCCAAACACACACGTTCCTGCATTAAAAATGGATGTGTATAAGTGAGTGCTGCAGCGACCGTCGGCTGGAACCAAACAAAATCAGCAAGGAAAAATGTCACCAGCACACCGAGGATTACCAATATGGGTCCAAAGGTTTTAATGAACGATCACATAGTAACAGCAAGGCAACGTTTTGGAGTCTCGCAGGACCCCTTCATCAGGCATGTGACACATGCCTGATGAAGGGGTCCTGCGAGACTCCAAAACGTTGCCTTGCTGTAACTATGTGATCGTTCATTAAAACCTTTGGACCCATATTGGTAATCCTCGGTGTGCTGGTGACATTTTTCCTTGCTTCTACAGGCAAAATGCAAAGGACCTGTACACGCAGCATGTTTTAAGCCCAATGTGCCCCTAAGGTATACCATTGCTTAGATTGTAAGCTCTAACGAGCAGGGTCCTCTAATTCCTACTGTATTAAACTGAATTGTCATTTTGTCTGCCCTTATTTTGTAAACTGTTGGAGCTATATAAACCCTGTATTATAATAATAATAATAATATTAATAATAGTCTTCGCTGCTCAAGCAGTTTTACCAAATACTGTTTGAAAGGCCACTTTAGCACAGCTTGAAATTAATTTTTTAAACTTTTGGATAACTAAAAGAGAAAAGCAAATGAGATGTAACCTCCATCATGATTTCATACAGACTATACATTATTTTCAATTTGGTTTTCCAAAGACAAGTCTCACTGAGTAGCAGAAGCTTGTGTGGCTGAATCAGGAGGGATGAGCTATACAGCAGACCTGCCGAGTACCCATGTGCAATATGCAGCAATGGTTAAAACAGAAAATGATGTACCTTTGATCAGACCACACTAAACAGCTGAAAGCTAATTCGAAACATTGGGTTTAATCTACTACTCCTTTAGAAAATCAACCTAAAGTGACTACCATATAACTGCTTTTTGTGTCATGCTAATAAATAAATCTGAAATAACTGAACATCGAAGATAATCTTAGGTTCAGGGGTAATCAATATCTTAGAAATGATTTGCTTCAGGATTCATCATGTTTGCGAACCTTACATATACAAACAATGCAGTCTGACCAAATTTCAAACAAGCAGAAGGAAAATGCTTACTAATCATATACAGCAGATTAACAAAACTGCTGGTACTTAGTATACTATTAAGTTTATAAATATGGAATCATATGCTACCCAGGCAATTCCTCAAACGATACAGGTAACCACGAATTAGGCTGGCGGTAAAGGTGACTGTTAGTAATTCAGCACTGAAATCTTTGAACTGCATACAAAGCCGAGCCCAAGCAACTGCAAAAAAGTGCCACCTTTGGACTAATTAGGTTTAGTATTACAGAATACAAAGTTTCAGCATTGAATCCTATCACTTAATTCACAGCAATCAGTTGTTTTATTTTCTAGCATCACATATCTTAAAGTAGTTGTAAACCTATACATATACCCACTGAAGAGAATGGCCTCAGGTGATACACAGATGAAACAAATCCTCCTACATAAGTTATACCTGTTTATCTAGAGCGGTCTGTCCTCTACAGCCAAGTGCAAAATCTACACAGGACCTCTCAGTTTTGAAAAGCAGGAGGCGGGAAGCTGAAGTTACATCAGCGAGGAGCACTCTGAGCCATGATTGGAGGGAAGGGGTGCACAATCTCCCCCCCCCACACACACACACACTGGGTGACAGGAAACTTGTCAGGAGTGACTCATTCTGAGAGCAGAGGAAGGAAGCAGCAGGCAGAAATTACACTGTGCTCTGGACTGAGACATGTACACATTACAGAGGAATGTGCTTTGTTCATGTCATTTCATGTCAGGTCAGAATAGAATTGAAATGGAAAAAAAATATTGCTATGCTGATTTAAAATTCCGTGAACTCCTGAAAAATACAAAACATGGTGAAATATATGCAGGTGAAAAATATTTAAGTTTCTGGATGCATTCCTTAGAAGAAAGTTGTTTATAAAAGTTTTAGGCCTGTAGCAGTAAGAGAACATCCATTTTCTCCAGCTTCTAGGCATGGTACTAACCATTACACCAGTTTGCTTTTTCTAGCACTGCATCCTGCCCTATACCCATCCCTTGAACAGAGTAAGTGAGCAGGAGCTCTTCAGAATTTTGATCTTTCCTTTTAACATAACATGTGATTGGTACCAGATCCAGCACCATTTACTAAAGGAAAGTCAAGCACAGCACTATTCCTTTATTACTACTGGTTGGAACTTGCATACATCAACAGCTGTAGGCATTTCCCCATAGTGTTGTCTAGTGAAACCAAAGCAACTACTCATCTGTTGACATTTATCCTTCATGTTAATATATACGAAGTTTAACTCTGTATGCCACAAGTTATAATGCAATGATACAAATTTCTGATATGCATGGAATCACTTTAGCCACTGCATCATTTAAATGAAAGTCTGTCCAGAAGGAAAATAAACCATTTGAAAGGTCCAGCTTTCAGGTCTTTAAATATCATGATAGCACATGTATCTAATAAGGTAGAATGAATATATGTGAACAGTGAATGCTATGATGTATGTATATTGAAAAGTGAACGCTGTAACTTGCAAGAACTGGAAAAATAAAACTTACATTTCCCTTTTTTTTTTTTGTTTTCTCTGCTGTCCCCTTACATTGCTAGGCATTGTTGGTCCGTACAATGGACAAGTATATCCTAATTGAACGGCTAACAGTCCACATAAACAAACACAGTACCTTACATCTTAATTTCTATCTTTTTAATTTTAATCAACATTCCTCCCAGTTTCTCAGTAAAAATAGTTATTTATTTTATTCATTAACATCTGATTTGCTTTTGCTTCAAAACTTTGATTTTGCTGTTGAAGTCCAGTATTTATCAGGCCACAAGAGATCCTGCCTTCTGTCTGTTCTCCGTGCTGTCTTTGTGTGTCCGTACATGGGCAGCGTGTGCGCTCTCCAGATCAAAGGTTAAATTGCACTGAGTGCATTCCCATGTTCCTCCCTGCTCTGATTTAAAACTTGAAATCTGCTTTTCTGATGTTTTGGGGTTAGGGCTTGGAGGCCCCTCATCTTCCTCCTCATCCTCCTTCACCTTGTGTACAATGAAAAGGTGTCTATTTAGTGATATCTGGGATGTGTAACATAAACCACAATGTACACACTGGTATGAGGAGCTGTCACTCTTGTGCTGAGGTATGTGCTCAAGAAATTCAGAGCTGCTGTCTGCTGCAAAGCCACATTTTGCACATTTGTAGATCGATTTCATTTTCTTAGCATCTGGTCCACCTGCTTTTGCTTCAGAGTCCTCAAGTTCTTTCTTAATAGCTTTCTTGGAACCCGATGACTGGAATGCCGCATATGGAATTGAAATAAAAGGACAAATGTGTTTTAGAAAATGTCCTTAATGTTTGCCTTTCTAAAACAATGGTGATTGGAATGCTCTTTATATTTAATAAAATATAGTGGTATTAAAACGCAAACATGTATTCATTTCACAGCCTACCAGTTCTTAGATGTGATGTCAACGTTAGTTTTCTTTATTAGGTATTCTTACCTTTATTTTCACCTAGTGATCTGGCCAGTAGGACTGTTGTTTTTCAACAGAACTCACTGTCCTACAAATGTGTAAGTTTAGAGTGTTGAGACAAAACATTTACCATGGATAGGGGGTGCTTACAATGATCAGCTTTTATGTAAATCCTTTTATTTCAAAAGAAAAAAAAAACCTGTTGCTGTAACTGCGTATGTAAGTGCATTGTGATACTGGTGCTCGGTTTCAATTATTTATTATATTTAAGGCTCCATGCATACTAGCATTTTTTTACAAGCTCAAAAACACTAGGAGTGTTAGCATTTTATTCATGTTTTTACAGTACACAAAAAAATATTAAAAAATAACACCCGTTAGGAGCATTTTAGTAGCATTTGTTTTTATGTGCCAGGAAAACACTATCAAAAACACTACAAAAACATTTTTACTCTGCTTGAAAAACGCTTCTAGCATATAATAGTGTGCATGGACACATAGGACAACAACATTAGCTTCCAGAGGCAGAAAAAAATGCCCATAATAGCTTCTAAGAGCCTAAAACATTGTTAGTGTACCTAAATCTGCTAGTACATTTAACACTCCCCTCCCCCCCAGACTGACCATGCTGCTGTCCAAAGGTGCCCCTGTGCTCATTCATTCAGAGTGGGGGCACTCTAATACAGGTGGTGTGTTACTGGTGAGATCACTAGGTCAAAAGAGGGGAAAAAACAAAAACCCAAAACTGAAGAAAAAACTAATGCAGCCACCACAATACCACCTACAATATATTACATGTTTGGTTTAATACCTCTTTAACTTAAAGTAGGTGTACAAAAGAAGACAAAACAAAATGAAAAAGGACAAATTCTAAGATATACCTTTTTAAAGTGGATGTAAAGTTTCTTCCTTATTTTTGAAATAATAAACATTGCATAGCTACCTGCCCTGTGCAATGGGGACAAAGATAAAAATATGCTGACTTCAACCATTTTAAGCTATCCCATTATTCATTTCACATACTGGTTAAAACCATTATTACCTGAATTTCATGTTTCACAGCAGATCTCAAAGAGAGAGAAAGTCAGTAAATGAACAAACACCACTACACATATGATGTTGGTACTTTTCCTACAGCTCATTACTACTAGAGCCAACAAGGCATGGGAAGGGGCATATCAAAATGTTCTAGAAACCTGAAAACCAGAGCACCTTATTATTTATGTACTGACCAGCTCATATACTACTACTCCAAGCATTATTCTAGCTTGGGAAAAAGACTTAGACTATTGCTTTTAAGCAAATAATTTACCAAAAGATATTTATTCTTACCCACAAAGCTACTATGCTGATGCAGCACAGGACTAAATAGTGACACTATGGTAGCACTGCCCTACAACAACAATCATTCACCCCCAAATTTTCCTGGAGATGTAACAGAGCAGTAGGAAACATGCTCCACATACGTTGGTATTGCGTTCATATATCATTTTTTAAAATCAAAATATTGAATCTTTACAAACTGGTCACAAGCTCTGAAATCAGTATGCATCCCAAATATCCCTTCTTTTTTAATACCAGGCCCTACTTTTAAACCCAAAAAAGGCCTCAGTTTTTATCTACATGCAACTCAAACAGTTATCCTCTTATCACTGGAACACTACATGAGCCACAGCGGTTTCGGAGAGGCTATGGGAACTTAGTTAAATTCACAGAGCTTCTTATGGCATCTATTCACAAAAGGTACTCTACATACATGACCACATGTAGCGTCTGGGTTATTCCCTTAGTTTCCACATGTACCCAAGAACAATTAATTGACTAAACAAACTTTACTAAGTGGGAATGTTGGACTCCCCTATTCAGGCACTCTCCTCTTCTCTGTTCTGTTTTCCTTCTATCTATTTTGTGCTCACTTCTATCTACAGACTCTCCCTCACCTTCCTTCCTTCATACATCACCAAGGATTACCCAATGAAATATTATAATCATACTCATGCACATGCTAAGTTCTTTTGCAATTTCCCTGTGAGGCTATCAAGATTGTGTTTCATTATTATTAAATATAGGCTAAGTCTTTCTGTATCTTACTGCAACTACAGTGCCTTAAAAAAAGTATTCATACCCTTTGAGAATTTCCACATTCTGTCATGTTTCAACCAAAACGTATTTTATTGGGATTTTATGAGATAGACCAACACAAAGTGGCACAATTGTGAAGTGGAAGAAAAATCAAAAATGGTTTTAAAATTGTTTTTACAAATAAATATCTGAAAATGTGGAAAATTTTAAGGGGTATGAATACTTTTTCAAGGCACTGTACTTAACTGTGAGCCTGTTACATTTGTTTAATCAGACCCTGACTCTCACTGACCCCAATCTACTTTCTGTACCCTGAAAACCAAAAAAATTATACTGCTTAAAACAAACTGAAAAATATGCAGGCACCCACAACATTCCTGAAGTTAACAACAGGCAGCTACCTAACTTCCAATTCCCCTTAGTTTTTGTAATGTGGAAAATATTCTTAGAATATTTTTGCTAAATATGAGCATAATACCTGATCTTGTTCTCGGCTTTGCGAAGCTGCATCTGATGCTGCGATAGAAGAGGACACCTGGGTAAGTTCAGGGTTTTTGATGCCGTGCATTAAAATGATGTGATTAGCCAGCATGGACGGCTTGGCAAAAGTGGGCTTCTCTGTGCAGTAGCTGAAAGACACAAGAAAATACAATGAACATTTCATTTAAAAAAAACAAAAAACACAAACCATTTTAATCAACAGAATACTGATTTTTTTCCTAACCTGTAGACATAACCATGCTGTCTAGGCAAATGTGATTTCCATACTTACATGTAACAAAAGTAAACATTTCCTATTAACCACTTCAAGTCCGGACACTTTTACCCCCTTCCTGTCCAGGCCAATTTTCAGCTTTCAGTGCTATCACACTTTGAATGACAATTGCGCGGTCATGCAACACTGTACGAATATTCATTTTTTAGCATTTTTTTGAGACAGATAAAGCTTTATTTTGGCGGTATTTATTCACCACTGGGATTTTTATTTTTTTTTCTATGTAAATGAAAATGTCCACAAATTTTGAAAAAAAAGTGTTTTTCTTATAAAATTTTGCAAATAAATATTTAATCATAAATCTTGGGCAAAATTTATTTTGTTATCTTTTTATTAAAAAAAAAAATAACCCAAATTAGTTTATAACATTTTTATTTTATTTTTTTACATTATGTTTGCTTGTTTTTTTACATACTGTCACCCTAGCAGTACAGTGTCACCATGGTGACACTGTACTACTTGTGGGGGGGGGGGGGGGGGGGGGTGATGAAGATTTTTTTTTTTCTACACTGACTGCTTTTACACCCAAGGCGGTAAAAGCAATCATTTCTCCTTCTCTCTGGCTGCATTCTTGCAGCCATTGAGAACTACTGTGTGAGCTGTGATTGGTCATAGCTTGTCACATGGTACAAAGCTGTTGTGAATAGCCTTATACCATGTGACCTCTGTGATCATTTACAGATTTCACACGTAGTAAGCAACGATGTCAGAAATGGCCAATCAGTGATCACATGATCGGGACCTCGTACAGAGGTACCATACGACGATCGGTGTTCCACTGTGTCCGGAGAACACAGCGGGCACTGGATCGTGGTGCTGCACGCTCCCGGGCAGCACGCACGCACAAGCAGGGGACGGGGAAACCGTTTATAAATGGCCACCCGACCCTGCACTGCCACCGTCCGGCCCGTTTATATACAACGGCCGGTCAGGAGGTGGTTAATGATAATAATGGCCAAAATTACATACTTCAAAAATGTTGAGTCAAGGAGATTTAAACTGCATTCAGTGGGGAAACTATCGTGTGTTGGACCTACTTCAATACACCTGTTCTACTAGTCTGAAGTCCTAACGCAATGAAAATGGAATTAAACTCTTAATCTGCATTAGCCAAGGGGATAAAAACATGCTTAGAAAAAAGGATCAAAATGTAAAGCAATACACCGGTCAACTCTCTCGCCTTATGTATTAAAACGTAAAGTGTCATTAAACCCTCCAAAAATACTTTTTTAAATATTTCTTTAAAATGATGTACTATAACTGTGTGTAGAAGCTTGCTATCACCCATCTGTTGCGTCTTTGCAATTATCTGGTTGATCCTGCTTTTCCATGCACTTTCCCATTGCAGTGCTATGGCTTCAGACTTGTGCGCTGCCACTCTTGGTGCACCAAATCTGTCTGCTGCCTGTTGGGAAGCCACTGACTTCATTTCTCCCCTTGAAGCCTCTCTACATTTCCGTCACTTGCGGGGCTGCTCCAACTGTCTGATTGGCATTGGCTTCCTCTCCCCTCCATCCATCCCACATGACATTTACATTGTTTGTGGGGTGAATCCAGCAGGGATGATTGATGGAGGCTCACCTGCTAGCCACCCCAAATGACTCACATTCCAGAGTCTTAGGAGGTGACTCCCAGATCATGATGGGCTGCAGCAGAGAGCCTGGCTGCTAGTTTCTTGTATGAATGCATTAGCAGCATGCTTTCTAGCATCTGTTTTTTATTTATCATTTTTACCACTGTAATACTTTTTTTTTTTTCCAAGCACACATGACCACAACAGTGCCAACTGGCTCGGTACGACCACAGAAAAACATAGGCTGCATCACAGGATATACTGTATTGCTTGTTACACCCATTACTCTCAGTGCAGTGTAAAGCAAGCAGATTGTGTCAAATGACCAAGGGATAAAGCAGCAAAAATTATGGTCTAGAAACCCTTGATTGGATTGTTATTGTCCCAGGTGAAAAATATGAAAATAGTGTTAATGAGTTTAAAGGATAAGTTCACTTTTGGGAACACGTTACATGTTCCACCAGTTTTTTAGGGTGGAACATGCAACATGTTCCCAATGCTGCAGCCACTACCTGCTGCCCCCGTCCCTGTGACAGAAGTATGGGGAGGAGCTCCCCGTACTAGCTGTCATTTTTTAAAAACAGCACAGCCGCGTCATTCACAGTGCTTTGTGAATTAATTAACTAAAATTCCTGACAGCCTTAGCGGCTGTCGGCTTGAATTTCTCAATGAACTACCATGGCGCTGTGGAAGTTCACTGAATCTTCTTGTCAGTATATCTGCTTGCCCGTACATCCCATACAGACAAGCAGATATACTAACAGGTCTGCAGGAGACCTACACGGCACCAGCGATTGCTGGTGCAATGCTTTACAGCCTCCTGCAACCAGAAGTAATAAATGCACATTTTTGTTACCTGCAAAAAACAAAGTGCATTTATTATTTTTTGGCAAAAGGTGAACTTATCCTTTAATGACATGTTAAAGTGGAAGTAAACTTTCTAAAAAATGTTGTTCACAAAAGACTTTACAAATCCCTTAAAAGCCAGCACATATTTTTCTTTAAGATGATGAGAATGGATGCCAAGATAATTAACTCTCCAGAGCACATGCACAGAACTTACATCAGTGGCTGCCCACTGCCCAAGAAATAAAAAATAAAAATGGGAGCACTACATTTGTGCAAAAACATTGACAAGATTCCATGCCACATTTCTGTGATATATTCTATCCTTAATTCGAGGCAAGATAAGTGAGCTTATTTGATAAAATGGAAGCGAGATTTAGATGAAGACCTAGATCATTTCCAAGTGGCGTTAATTGGCTTCTAAGTCCGTTATAATAATTTCATCATTGAAGCCACTATAAAGTGCTTTGAAGATGATATATGGTACCTACAAAATTCGCTTCATATGTCCAAGGTGCCTCCCTTACATATTTCAGGGGCTGTGGACAGGAGGGCATGAAATATCAAATATGGTGGACCTGCCCGGGAGTCAAGAGATTTTGTATTCAAGTCTAACTTTATATACTTCTCGACTCAGACCAAAATCAAAAAATCCCCCTGGCAAGCCTTATTAGGCCATCCCATACAGGAGGCGACAAAACATTCTGAAAAAAATGCTTTCATATTTCCTTTATATTTTTAGCTGCTAGGATAGCAATTGTACACACACTTTACAAGAGAAGTTTACAAAAGAAGATAAGGTAAACAAATCCTTTTCATACAAGGGTTTCTTTCTTTTTTTACACAGTAGGGCATGTGCATTGACTCAAGAAACCTTGTGTCACACTTCTTTGAGAAATGTAATGTGTCAAGCATATATATTATGTTCAGTTTGTGAATCACTGGTTTAAATAATAAAAATTATTGGAAGAGAAAAAAAAAGATAAGAGCCCATGTCAACGGAGCAGGAGCAGTGAGCTTGGACCTCTTTGAAGCTAAGCACATGCAAAAGGTGTATGTGCAAGTATGCTGTACATACACCATAAAGTTTGCTTTAACACCAAGCAAACAGCTAAATAAGAAAGAAAAAAAAAGTTCAAACTGTCAGAGGTTCTGTAATTCTGCTGAGCCAGTCTTGCAATACAGGCAGTCCTGCCTGACACACTGGAGGAGTAGCAGAACATTAATGAGGTATTTTTCTCAGCTTTAGTTTTTGATTGACAGCACCTAGCAAATAACAAATGCACTGATTGCCTCAGAGTGCTGGCCCTTATTCTACCATTCCTTGAGCTGCTCTAAAGGGAACTACAGGAGGCTGATATCATGACTGATTCAGATACCTATGCTAGTCCAATGTCAAATACATTTAACAACATATTTAATTTATAACTGAGATTATATATATTTTTTTTATATCAGGCCAGAGTTCCGCTTATGCTTGTCACTGTGAAAATGTTTGATGCAGACACACAAAATTATGTTCTGGACCACCCTTCTGATTGTGTTGAGGTGCAACCTAAAAGGAAGGAGCAACTAAGTAACTAACCTCATATAGGCAGGACATATCCCAGATGTAATGCTGTGCTCCTGTCAGGAATGGACTTGCCAATAATGGTGGGACTCACCTGCCTTGTAGGCTGCAGTACCAGGGCTGGCCAGCGGGTGCTCTCAGCAATCAGAGACTCACCCCTGCAGTCAGCCAAACACCTGAAGCCGATTGCAGAGGTTGTATTTAAGGAATGGCCAGACTCACAGTCAGGGCCTTGGTGTGTGTTTTTTTCCATGGGCCCCTGTATCTTGTATCCTGTGTTCCTGTTCCTGCCTGACTTGTTGCCGACCCTGCCTGATCCTGACCTCTGCTGACTTTTCCGGTTTGATCCCTGGCTTGTGACCCTGACCATTCTCTGCCTGACCCTCTGCACCGCGCTGCCCGTGAGTTACTGAACCCAGCTTGTGACCCCGACCACTCTCCCGCCTGTTCCTGGTACTCCGTTTGCCCGTTTGCTACTGACCCGGCCTGCCTGACTACTCTTTGTATTGTATGTATTGTTATCAGTGGTTTGGTTTGGTTTGTTTGCACTGTGTTTATGTTTAGTTTTGCACTGCGTTTTGTATTGTTAGTCTTAATAAATCATATTGTTTATACCATATCTGAAGCCTGCGTTTCCCTGTGTCAGTCCACACACCTCTGGTCATACCCGGAGCCCTGACAGCTCCCAAATAAATGAGGGAAATAGAGCATCCATCTCAAAGGTCTACTAACCCTTAGGATACCAATTGATAAAAATTAAGCAAAAATGAACAATTAGCTTAATTATGCACGTGTTACACTAATGCATACCTTCTACTGTATTAGAAAGAAAAATGAGTAATTGTAACTCAAATTGCCTCAACTGCTAAATAAAGAGAAATCTAAAGAATAGAAATAAGCCCGGCATGACTCTGAACACCACCCTAATTTAGTGCAGTTAAAAATGTAAATCAATTTTTTGTGAAGCTATTTTTTTTTTTTTAACTGGCATATAAACTGCCATTATTGTACCTTTGTGGTTAAGTTTTACATAAATGCTATACAAAAAAAAAGACAGCTAGTGACTGCAAATGGTCGTAAACAGAGCACTACTACTATGTCAAGACAAAAAAAAAAAATACTGTATTTCTTAGCACTGAAAGTGTGTTCACTGAGATATTACCAGCAGGTGTACTCTTTCTTTGTGTCATGGTCATTTTTAACATGTCGTCGTAAGCTGGCTGAAGAGTTGAAGGAGCGCTCACATTGTCGGCATGGATATCTTTTCATACTCTGCAAAATAAATCAATTTGAAAGATTTGTAACACAAAATGCTTTAACATGATTTATCAGCGTGTAATGCTATAACTTTAGAAGGGGAGGGTAAATGGAGTTCCACTTGAAACTACTTTATCTTGTTTTATACAGTATGTTAGCAAAACGCGGACTGGTGGTACGGTCTGTATGTCCCTGTATTTGGCAACTAAATGGAACTGATAAAGTGACATTGAACATTAGCAATGCATGTTAGTCTTCAGAATAAAAAGAAAAATCTTACCTTCCCATGACTTTTCTTCATGTGGAACACATAAGTTTCCCGATCCAGAATCCACTCAGAACACTCTGGACACGTCCAACCTGCAAGCTTCTGCTTGTGCTGTGACTCTGCAGACTCGTTGTCTCTCTTGTTAGAAGAGGAATTACCCACAGTCTTTCCTGTGGACTTTGACGAAGTGGAGTCATCATTCTTCTCCACTGCAGCATCTGGCTTTTTCTGGGCGGCTGAAGATTCTTCAGGTGATTTAGGAAGGCCATGGACGCTCTAACAAAAAAAAAAACCCCAAACATTTGGTAAGAAACAAAATATCAGTTGGAATCAATACTAAAAGGAGCCTATGTCTGCTAAAAATGAAAGCACCAAAGATAATACTCAGTTTGATATGTGATATACTGTGACAGTGACCCTAATATCCCAAGTGAATTAATGTGGAATGCAAGGTGAGAATCTCCTGCAGATATCCAGGTTTGCGGACATCCACTTCTTTATTGTTTACTTTTAAAATGATATGATCCGCTACCCAACCGCATGCCTGCAATGTACTGCAGATGGGCGGTAGCTGCAGGCAAAGTGACGTACCCGTACATTGCTTTGCTCTTCCGGGTTTAGAGTGCACACCTTAACCCCCCCCCCCCCCCCCCCCCGCTGACCACTGCTGTCAGTTGTTGTAGAAGGTGTATGTCAGCAGGTCTCGACCAGTGATTTAGGCTGGGACTCTGTCAATCTCCTACAGTGAATGGAGATGCAGAGCTGTGCCTGTATTTGTACATACCGGAACAGGATCTAGCTGGTTCTTCTCTCCCTGGAACCATTTTGTTCCAGAGAGAGAAGAATGACATCACACGTGAGTAAAAGCAGCACACTGCAGCCACATGTTAGATAGAGACATTTTACCCCCTTGATTGCCACATTTAACCCTTTGATTGCCCCCTGCCACTGCCATTAGTAGAGTGTCAGTGTACAGTATTGATCACCGTATTAGTGCCACTAGCAACGTCAGATAGCGTCAGGGTCAGTTAGCGTCCCTCCCAGCTAGGGTCAGCTAGCGTTAGATTGTCCGCACACTATATGACTACGACTGATCACAGTCATTACTAGTATAATGTTTGTATGGATCTATATATTGATCACGAACAAAATTATACCTGTGCCCCTTAGTGTCCCCAAAAACGCAGTGTTAGCAGGATCATCCCCGTATGCTGCCAGCACTAGCATTTAGCCCCAATGCTCCCCCTCACCCCTAACAAGAAGTGCAGTGTCAGTATAATTTCTGATCTCTGTCACCTGTAATACATTGCACACAAAACCGCAGTGTTCACAGAATCAGGCCTGATCTCTGCTAGCACTTGCCGGTAAATGTTTTTGTAGCAGTTCAAGCAGTCCCTGACAGCCAGGTGCTCTTTTTCCCATGAGTCGCACTAGGTACCTGTAAATTTAGAGTCCAAAATGTCCAACGAAAGGTACACTAGTGAAAAGGCCTACAGGAGTCTGAGTATGTCAGGTGAGAGCGAAGGGGAAGACTCCCTGACACAATCAGCCTCGGAAGACTCCCTGACACAATCAGCCTCAGAATACAAACCTGTAGACAGCAGCGGCACCCTGAGAGGTAGCTCGGTCCATGGAGAAGAGGTCCCTGATAAGATCAGGTGTACCTGACCCCATGAAGCTGAAGTGCTAGGATTGCATAACTTGTCTCATATGCAACAGAGTGCCAGTACTAGTGCCACACTACCTTTTGGTGAACTGGCGAGCACCAGTGGCCTAGTACATCCTGGTCTTTCACATACCAGCACTGCAGTATCACTTGGTAACGTGGCGAGTCCCAGAAGTGCAGTACTAGCTGGTGTGGTGGCGAGCACAAGCAGTATCCCGCAGCCACCAAGAATTCGCACACAATCCCATAGAGCCCCTAGTGTCCTTCCGGACGTGCTTGCAAATTGTAATTGGCAGCCCACAGATTCTGCAGCACCCGTACTTCCCCCATTCACTGCCCAACCCAGAATTCAGGTGGAAACAGCAAATTTAACTCCCCTTGATTTTATGGAGCTGTTTTTCACAAAAGATTTGTACAATTTGATTGTGGGCCAAAGCAATTTATATGCTCAAGAATATATCGCCGCAAAACCAAATTCAAACCTTGCCAGACCATTCGCATGGAAACCAATTACGGTTTCCAAATTTAAACCATGCAACCTAATCGCTGGGGCTTCCCCCAACGGCTTGTAAATACCCGACTTAGAAAGGGGGAGCAAGCCTGATGAATTGCTCGCAGTGAAGTGGAAGGACAAAACGGGATGTTTTCGTCCTGTCTTCCATTCACGCATACGCGACAGTCCAAATTAACACGGTATCTGGCATTATTGAGAAACCCCTCTACATCCACGACTATAACTTTAACATGGGAGGGTGGACTTCAACGACCAAATGATGAATCCGTACCTAGTTTCCTGGAAAGCTCGACACTCGTACAAAAAGGTGTCTATTTATTTCAATTGGCTATATAGAATGCTTTTGTAATTTACAAAGCCAACTGGATGAAGTGGATCCTTCCTACAATTCCAGGAAGAGGTCACAGCACTTTTGCATCCAGAAGGTGCTGTAGCCCAATCCTTAAATCCAGATGCAGTTAGCCGGCTGCATGAGAGGCATTTTCTGGATGTCCTCTCTGGTACCCCAACCCAAAGGTCACCCCAAAAAAGATGTCGTGTCTGTAGCTACCATACACTAGTGGAGTATTAGTATACGGTACACCACGGCACAGTTCAGGGTACATATTTACACAGGGTCTCGAAAGATGTTAGGTAGTCAGGAAACTGGCTATCGCATTTTGAGAGACCCTACAATCTGTTTTAAAAAATTCAAGTTAAAAAAAAAAAAAAAAAAGTAAAAACCCCCCAAAAAATAAAAAATTCAAGTTAAAAGAAAAAAAAAAAAAAATTTTAAAAACCAAAAATAATTAGTTTTTTTATTGTTGTTACTGTTCTACTGTTACGATTTTACTGTTTTATTGTTAACCATTGCTGTTTTTTTTGCAGGAATGTCATTCAGCTGCAGAACCGACAGGGTCTTGCTCTCAGAATATACATAAGTAGGTGTGTGCAAGTGCTGTTGGATATTTTTCATCCAGTTAAAAAAAAAGAGCATATATGTCGAAGCATGGGGGTCTGGGGTGGCCAGTGGGTGGATGGCCCCTATGCTTTTGCATTTATATTGTATAATATTTTTTGAACATTTCATATGTGCCCACCATTAAAAGTAGGTGGATGCAGGGAGGTATGTTCTAATGGTGGACATACCACACACTTTTTCTGGCAGAGATTTCTTCTCTTTTTTTTCATTCAGCCCACAGGCTGCATAAAGAAAAAAAAAAAAGAAGAACATAGCATGTGGCCCCTATGCTTCGGCATATATATTTTATAATATTTTTCGGCACATATTTCAATAAAACAGTTGCTTTATTGAGTTACTGTTTTATTATTAAGTATTGCTGTTTTCTTTGCAGGAATGTAATTCAGCTGCAGCTCCGACTTGTTTATTCTGATAGCAACAGGGCCTTGCTTTCAGAATATACATACGTAGGTGTGTGTGCAGTGCTGTTGGATGACATTTTTCATCCACAGTTAAAAAAAGAGCATATATGCCAAAGCATGGGGGCCTGGGGTGGCCAGTGGGTGGATGGCCCCTATGCTTCGGAATATAAATTTTATAATATTTTTTTGGTACATTTCATGTATGCCCACCATTAGAAGTGGGTGGATGCAGGGCGGTATATTCTAATGGTGGGCATAATACACTTTTTCTGGCAGAGATTTCTTTTTTTTTTTTCATTCAGCCCACAAGCTGCATAAAAAAAAAACAAAAAAAACAAGAAGAACATAGTATATACCCAAACAAGGACCAGCAACGTACTGGTATATCAGGCATCATCCTGGTATCTTTTTCAGCCGGCGATCGGCTTTCATGTAAAACCAATCTAGTGTCTAATTAGCTGCAGGATTGCTTTCACAAGCAGCAGGAGAAGATGTGTCAGAAAAAAAAGGTGGGATTCCTTTTATCTCTATTTGTTCTCGATCAACTACTCAAGAAGTCAATGACCCAGAACAAAAGGAGGAAAGTAATGGCCACCTTCATGATGCTCTTGTGACAGGTACATGGTAAATGAACCCTAGCATGAAAAGTTAGCTTTGAATTTTCAGCCACATAAAGAACCTTTCAATTTTAATAAACCCTTTAAGATTTTCCTTTACGTGCAATGGCATCTATTCACTATTCAGTCCTGAAGGTTATCATCTGGCTCACGAGACTAGTGCTAGTTTGGTGGCACTGTGCTGCAGAGATGCATCACGCCCTGAAATGAGTCCCAGAACTGAGTGGTGGCAGCCTACACAATGCTAGCTAGGAATCCAAGTTAAGAAAGATAAGCCACAATCTGAGTTCCTTTAAAATACATTTCTATTGCCCAGCCATAAACATCTGTTTCAAAATCCCTGGCATTTTAAACAATAGCAGTATCACAAAGGTTCCCAGTCACTAAATATTTTAGGGTACATTCACAACCTGTGTGGTGGGAATGTGCTGGGAGGCTATTCCAGCTCAGTTCCACTGCACTCCCACCGCAAGACAACACAAATGCTTTATGGTCAGTTTATACCACTGTGTTGCGGTGGTGTGCAGTGAACAAGAAAAAGTCACCGCACGCTGACCGAACTTTGAAATGTCACGGTGTGAACAGAGCGATGTGCTCCAATCGGTGCATTAGCACTGCCTGCACAGCAAAGCACACCAACTGCAGATAGACCCTTAGATGAGATGAAAAAAAGTGTATAATGAACAGCCAAGAATGCTTCAAAATGATATGTATACTGTTTTATAACAAGTGGATGGTTCAAATGGGTATACTATAGTGTACGCCCATGCAATTGCCATGTCTGCCCATCTGGGCACTGTCTGCATATAGGTCCACGCACCTACATAGCTGTCAAATAGGGTGCAGTGGCTGTGTCCATGCAGCCACTGGGTCAGAATTGGAATCAATGGAACTTTCTGCATGCAGATGCACACTTGCACATCCCTGTGCAGGCGAGCACTATAGCCTACACCTGTGCGAATGAGGCCTTTCTTCGAATCGGAAATTAGTTTGTTATGGAACTTCAGACTTCCAATAAGGAGAAAAAAAATAAAGTTATGTCTCTTTCATCTACGCCTATAAACCAGGGGTCAGCAACCAGTAGATTGCAGCCAAGTGTCTGCTAGATCGCGATCTGGGCTGGCTGACCTGCCATCCCAGAACATCAGAGTGTAATGCAGAGGGGCTACTTATAAAGCTAGATTTGTAGTAGGGAGCAAGAGCTGCATAAGCCGATGTCTCCTCTGTAGTGCTGGATCCTGTCCCATGCAGAGGGATACCAACTGCACTCTACCTCTTATCCCGGCTAACGGTCTCCAGAGTGGTGCCAGCAGCAGGAAAAAGAGATCTTCAGGTTAATGTGAAGCAGTACAATGGGCATTATAGAATAAACTTGCTTTCACACTGATGCGCTGCAGTTTACCCACACCGCGGGTGCAGTGCAGTTTACCTGCAGCTTTTCTGTGGGTTTTCTGCACTTAGCCATAGACTTCTATTATATCCTGTGGGTTTGGTGCACTTTCTGAAAGTGCGCCAAAACTCCAGAGTTGTGGGGCAATTGCAGAGTGGCCCCATTTACTTGAATAGGTCATGAGTGGCAGGCGGTAGCACCCACCAAAAGCAACAGGCCATGTGTACACCTTCGGCTGCTGGCTGATTGGGGGTGGAAAAACTTCAACTAAACTGCAGGGATTTACCACCTTCAAACTTTACGTGTGAATGAGCCCCAAGGGTGCTACTGCCAAATGCTACTAAGGGCTCATTCACAAGGTGATGAGAAGGTGATATGTTGCCTCCTCATCACCTGATTTAAATTCACGGCTGCCGTGCATGCACACGATTGCGACACGTTAGAGGTCTAAATCAGGTGTGAGGAGGGGACACAGTGCCTCTGTGATCTTTGACTTCTCCCATGTTGTTTAGGTAGACCTCTACCTCTTTAAGGTTGCCTACCCCTGCATAAACCATATAAATAATAGCATTTCTTAAAAACCATATACAAAATTGAATGTAAAAGCATCTTTTTCCCCTGTTCATGCTTTTAATGCTCACCTTCAGATGCTGCACTAGCAGCTGTTTCTGCATATATGCCAGCTGGCATTCGGGACACTTGAACACGCTCACTAGAAGAGTGTTTGTATTCTGGTAGAAATGCTGGTGCAAAAGTCTCTTTTTATTGAATACAGTTTCACAAGAACATTTATAGATTATCCTGGAACACAAGAAAAATAACTCCATTTTAATGCACAATATGAACAATAAGAAAACAGGAAATGACAGTGCTGAATCATTCTTAAAAAAGAGACTGACAAATAGGTTCTGTAGAATTACAGAAGTAAACATAATCGGGGGAATTCATGAAGGGTGTCGAGGACATCCTTTGAAAATTCTTTTGGGGCGCAGAAGAAAAAAGTGTTTGCTCTAGATTCATGTACCTGTCAGACAGGTACATGAATCTGTTCGTGTTTGTACTGAGGTTGGCATATCTTCACTGGACATTCCCTCCTTAGTGCACCTACCCTCCTTCCCCCTTTGAACTAGGGGTAGATGAAGCCTGATGGCTGATGGGGAACTGAAAGACTCGTTTTCCATCAGGTCTGTTCTGCTTCTGATTGATAGAGAACAGCAGTGGGCAGATCCATAACTGCTATTCAGGCTGAAAGTAGCTTTTCAACCCACCCACTGCCATGCACTGTCAGTCAAAAGTAGAGGGCTTGATGGGACACTAGTTTCTCAATTCCCCATCAGGTTCCGCCCATCCAGTGACAAGTAATTTTCCAAATATTAGCATTGCCATATTTGGGTAATGACATCACCTTTCTTTACATTTAGCTCTCCTGGCCGACAGCTAAATGGGGCCAGGGTTAGAGCTCTGTGTGGGAAGGTGTCAAACTAATGACAATTTCACAGCACAGGCAGGGCCTGCTCTTTGTAAGCTCGGAGTTGGTCTTAATTACCACCAGTTTCTTAATCTGAGACCTGGTGGTAGTTCTTTAGAATCGGTCAATGCCATAGTGATTAGGTTCTTAAACAGGCGGTAGTAAAAACTACCTTAAATTTGCCATGTTGCCAATGTTACCAACACTGGTGCAAATACTTACCTGAATTAGGAGCAGGTAGTTCTTAAGGAAACTACTAAAAATCTGTCATTAGGGTTATTCTGAATTCCCCTGGATGAGCCTAAAGCTTGCCACATATTTATTGTTCAGTTTCTCTGGTAATGGACTGAAGGCTGGAATGTTCTATTTTTATCATATCATAGGACCAGCTTTGTAATAAAAACAGTTTAGCCTTTAGACACCTGTAAAGGTTCTCATTCATCCAGGTCATGATATAGCTAGTAGTAGATAGTTACATTCGACTCAAAAAAGAACTGCTACAAATGGAAATAGAATCATATAGAAAATGCTACATTTGAGTAGTAAGTGTAAATGTCGGTGGCTGGTTGAGAACTTTGAGAAGAAAGAGTATATTCCATAGATAGAAAACATAAAATAACATACTGTGCGTTTTTGTGGCTAGCAGTTGGATGTTGGGCAGTGATGTGAGCGGTCGTACTTTCTGTGCTCTTGAAGGCCATGGGGCAGAAGGAGCACTTGTGGAAAACTTCGCAGTGTTTGTCCTGGATGTGAGCCTTCAGCATCCCTAGTGACATGAATACCACCCCACAGTGGATGCACCTGTAGAAACATTCCACATCAGTAACACAAAAAAAATTACAGTTTTCTGTAAATGCATTCCTAAGGCAAACACTTTTCAAAACTCTCTAATGGAACCACAGCAGCATTCAATGCAAGCATGCAGTTTTCATGGGATGGGTCTTTGCAGTGTGGGACTCCCACAACTACATCTTCCAAATGATTTCATCCTGATAAATATTTGCTGAAGTCTTTAGTAAAATGCAGCATCATGGGAAGCAGCATCCTACAGAAACTGATAGCAGAAGATCATTAAGTTCTTTTGGAGGAGGGAGCACTACAGCTTATTCAAGCTACAGTAGGAAGATCATGTGGATACGGTTTAAAGTGGAACGTTATGAAAATAAAGCTGGCGAACAGGCAGGATTTTTAATGCAGAAGAGACATACTATGTCTCCTCTACATTAAAAGTTACTTACATGCCTGTCTGTCCCTGTAAACATGAAGCTCATGGCACGAGTTCGGTAATAATGAGATAACATGACGTCTACTCGGCCTGGCCAATGAAAGTGTCTGGCAAACAGTATTCGGAAGCCGGTCACCTGAAGATATTAGCAGCCGACTGGAGCTCTGGGATGCAGCATCGCTGAAGTGAAGGCAAGTATAGCTCTGCTTTAAATACGTAATGGTGTAACAAACAAAAAAAGAGCATTTCCAGTTATTTTATAGTTGCTAAAAAGTCAATTATGACAATCATCCATAACAATGAAAGATTTAAATTACTTTCGCACTGTTATTATATGATTCCACTGGTCCTGATCATATGTAGTTTTACCATCGATGTACCTTTCTGATATGCTTTTTTTTTTTTTTCCTTATCTTTTTTAAAAATATACTGTTTGTACTCACATGAAAACCAATAAAAATTGTTAATACAAAAAAAAGAAAGATTTAAGGCAGCAATGACGCATGTTGACCTACTGGATTAAAGGTATAGTGATAAAATAAAGAAAAACAAAACAAAAACAAAAAAAACAACAAAACTTATTAATCATGAACCTTAATGATAAATCAAATAAACCCCTATTTACAGCAGTAATCATAGTATACTCCAGGCGCAAACTTCTTTAAAATATTCTTATGGGAAAAAAAAAAAAAAAGTTACCTCTGGACAGATATTTTACAGATCTCTCCTGCGTACTATACCATTCACACATCTGTATTGATACTACAGCCATGGCTGTGCTTTTGGCCTGCTGCTGGTATGACAGCTGGGACTGTCATATAGGTAAGTGATTTTGTCAAATTATCCATCCTTCTTCTCTCCTTGGCCATTCACAGAATGTCTTGTATTCTATGAACATCCACAGAATACACATCGCTCTGTGAATGGCCAAGGGGAGAGGAGGGGTGGATAAAAATGATCTGTACAAGAGGCACAGCTCTCATAGTGGCAGAAAGTACAAGGCTTGCTGAAATATCCGACATACACAAATGCATGAATGGTACAGTACGCAGAAGACATCTGCACACTTAACACATTTGGCTAGAGGTAACTTTTGCCCCCCTTGAGAACACAAAGATGTTTGTGCCTGGAGTTCTGATTTAAAGCCTAAATTTGAAACTGAAAGTGTGTATGTTTATGTTCTTTTCATAGCAAGAGCCAAATTACTATTTCCTAATGCATGTTGCAACACAATGTATGTTCTATTTTCACTCTATTTGGCTCATTAAAAACAATGCATTTTTACTGTATTGGATATGTGCTAAGCACTGCTCCCTACAACACGTGGGGGGGGTGTGTTACTAAAGCTGGAGAGTGTAAAATCTGGTGCAGCTCTACATAGAAAACAACCAGCTTCCAGGTTTTATTGTCAAAGCTTAATTGAACAAGCTGAAGTTAGAAATGGGTTGGCTACCATGCACAGCTCCACCAGTTTCTGAGTGCTCCAGTTTTAGTTACTCTACCCCATGGTGTGAATGAACCCCTAAAAATAACAAAGACTGAAGAATGTGCAACTTAGAGCTTTCCTTGTGATTACAACGGATGGGTTTACTTGTTCTTTACATGTATGTGGTTGTTAAAGAACTGCAGGAATTTGATTAGTTTTCAAGTTTACTGTGGACTAGCTTTTCTTAAATTACACAGATGGTACCTTTGTGTGGCCTATGTTTTAATAGGTTATACACTGTTCTAGCCTATGCTATATACAGGACGTGGCATCCTCTTCCAGCAGGTGCTCCAGCGACTCAGTATACTAAATAAACAGCGCCACTTGCACCAGCATCTCCACCGCACAGGAGATGAATTATATTTTTTTTTCAAACTATCCAGTCAGAAGCCTTGTACTTTCTGAAGGAAAAAAACAAAAACACAAGGCTCCTCCTGACTGGTGGAAGTGTTGGAGCAAACAACACCTTTTATTTAGTACACAAATCGGGAGCTGCTGGAGTACCAGCCTGATCAGGACACTGCTTTCTGTATGTAGCATGCAATACAAAAGTAAATTACTTATAGAATAATAGCCACAAGGAGGTGGCATCTACTTAATTCATTAAAGCCAAGTAAGTGTGTAAAGTACTCCAATTTCTGGAACTGTACATATGTGTAAAATACATACTATCAAACCAATGGTGTTACACTCACCGGAATGCCACTTTGCGTGTATAGTGTAGGCAGTTTTCTTTAACATGGGTCTGGAAATAGGCTGATCTACAAAGCACACCACATTCTGGGCAGCAATAAGGAGATTTGTGAGTATGGATACGCTGGTGAGCCCCATAGCTGCATTTATTTGGGAGCATCATCTGGCACACCTGGCAGGTCTACACAGAGGACAAAAAATATGAATTGCCGTAAATATATATGACTCAAAATGGATAATATGTAATCATACTACAACTGATCATAAAGAAAAAGGCACACAATTTAATGTGGACTAACATGGACCAGAGTGACCAAAACTAGAAAAAAAAGAAGCTGCAAAGAAAAAAAAAAAAGGGACAAAAAAAATGGAAAGAAAGAAAATCTTATACCCATCAATAAATTACATAGCACTCAGCAAAACCATGCAAATATGACATTTTTTAATGGCAGAGAAAACTGGACAAAAAAAAAAAAAGAAAAGTGGTGCCCAGACCAAACTGACCACAGGGGCATACAGGTCCGGGGCAAGCAACATTACCATTGTTGGTTTATATTGTGAAATAATTATTGTTAAACCTTGCTATGCAATTGTTGTGCATTGCTGAGAAGCGGGACCCAAGTTCACCTACATTCAGTTTGATGTGACATAATATTTTAAAGAACAGGGGGATAGCCAGGTACTGATTTCTGGCAGTGCACATCAATCAATCATCTGAAAAGTAGGATTGGGAGAGGGAGCTTTGTAAGTAAAGCACAACTCCAGTCAAAAATGTTTTTGTTTTAAATAGACTGGCAAACAGTGAAAATATAGGTCAGGTTCTTTTCTAGGTCTGTGATGGCACTGGGGAGATTAACCCCCCCACCCACACACATCCTTGTCTCTCTGATTCCCATACTGAAACTTGGTGTGTGGATGTCACTGGAGTGTCCTTTTTGGGATAACAGAAGTCTTGACCTTGGTCTTATACTATTGGCCACAGAAGGATTTAACAATGCCAAACAAAACTATAAACCAGCCAGAGGTATAACCCCCTCCTATTACCAGCATGCCCCAGTTTTGTACTAAAGCAGTACACAAAACAGAGAGTGGTGGAATCTGTGTCCCTAATGGACTTCAAAAGTCACCTGAAGCTCAAATAGCCACTTGAAACCCTTAGGTCTGAAGCTGGCATTAGATGAGGCAGAAACATCCATCTGATAGAACTTAGAGAACGTGCAAACAGAAGATCAGTTGGCAGCATTGCAAATCTGGGAAACAAAGGTCATGATGCTGATAAGACGAAAAGGCACTCACTGCCCTAGTGGAGCAAGTCTTAGCTGGAATGTGGGGATTGAGACCATAAGCCTGAACAATTTTCTGAGCCACCTAGAAATGGTGGAGCAAGAAGCCAGATGCCCTTGCTGGGTCCCATCCGCAATGACATAACCTGGATGACAGACAGACTTGAACAGCCGGAACCACATCCACACAATGGAGCCAATAATCCTTTCAGTAAACTGGAACTGGGCAAAAGAATGGGGGAACAATGTCTTGATTTAGGTGAAAGGCACAGATTGCCTTAGGCAAGAAGGAAGTCTTGTACCACAACACTATATTGCCCCCATGCAAGGGCAAAAAGGGTCCTTTGCAAGATAAGGCTACCATTTCAGAGACTCACAGAAGCAACAGCTACAAGGAACACAAACTTGTGAGTGAGAGTAGGAAAGGAAGGTCTTTGTGGGATTTAACTCGTTCTATCCACACTTTATAAGCCACCATTTGAACAGAATCACAGGTGACTAGACTGGAGGGACCACATGGGAGGCCCTCGGCATGAAGGTCTAATTCACAGAGTATGAAGTCAACAGTCCCTGAAACAGAAGGAAAAGTGGAGAGCTTTGACCCTTGATGGTTTAAAAGAGCCATACAATGGTCAAGCCTCAACTGGCAGGAAAGAAGGAATACATCCCAGGGACTCACACCAAGTGATGAATGCTTTTCATGTCTAAGGATAGACTTTACAAAATAACAGACTTAGACTTACCTGTCCCTTAAAACCTGGTCTTTAACAGCCATACCATTAAAGTCAAGCAGGATGGCAAGTTTACCCATGGAACGGAGGCTCCATGTATACTGGGCTTAAAAAAAAAAAAAAAAAAACAACCGTTCCCTTGGCAGAAACAAAACGCTGTAAGGCTAGGTTCACACCTATACAGGTTGTGTTTGAATCGTTTCTGCATTGCGTTTTTACCACGTTTTGCGAGAAGTTTTTCCATTTTTTTTTTTCTTGTTGCTAGGCAGAATTAAAACACATCAAAAACGCAATACATGCTTTTCCATTGAAGTCTATAGAAACAAAAACGCAACTTTTTGCGTTCAAAAAACTCCCTGACCCTTTCCAAAAAACACACCAGGTGAAAACTCACAGGTGTGAACATGTCCCACAGGAAATCATGTTAAAATGGACTGTACTGTGTTTATGCAAAACGCTGCAGAAAATGCTTAGGTGTGAACCTAGGGTTATAGAACGTTTTTGATCAATGTTTAGGTGCATTTAGGAGTGTTTAGCATTTTTTTCCAAAAATCCAATCAAAAACACAAAACCAGAAGGGTTTTTTGCCTGCCTCAACGGTGAGCTTAAAATATGCCTCTAAATGTCCTAATGTGCTGGTGGACACATAGGATAACATTGAGATGTTTCTACAGGCGAAACACAAAACTCCAGTAGAAGCAATGATTTTTAAGCCAATGTACATTGAGCCTGAAAATCCAGATGGCCACGGTCTGGTTAAATTCACATCAGCTGACCCACTAGCAAGTTAGTCCACTGCTGAAGAGGCAGCTAACATTGCCAGAAACTCCAAGCCTGACAACTGGCGTCCATCATGAGAATCTTCCAACAGATGGAAAGAAAGAAATTCCCTGACTCCAAAGCCATGCTCCTAAATCCAGATGCCTGAGAGGGCCTGATGGAGTTTAACACTCTAGGAGGAGAAACAGAAAGATTTGAAGGGAGAGAAACAGAAAGATTTGAAGGGAGAAAAACAGAATGAATGCATGTTGTCCAAGCATTCTTTAAGGTAAACAAACATCCCCCATTATGGAAAATGGGGGTGCACCTTAATGTGAAGAAAGGCTTGTATGAGGATTTGGAAGGCTTGGAGTTCAGACCTTGCTAGTGGACGGGTAGCCAGATTTGGAGGGGCTGAATGCTAAAGTTGAGATTGGGGATAAACAAAAAGGATGCTTCTTAAATGCGCACAGAGTAAGACAACATTGTAGGTTTTCCCTCTGTTGTGGAAGAGGTGTGTACTAGCCACCAGTAACATCCTTGATGAGAAAATCTTGTACTCATAAGAAGAGGTGCTGTCCCTTAAAGATCATGTGGATTAAACACTTCTGACAACACAGCCCTGAGATCCAACACTTTTGCTATAAGTGCCTGCACATACAGTTGTGTTCAAAATAATAGCAGTCAGACTTCACTAACCTGATCAATCACTGTTTTTGGTAGAAATGATATTTCTACATGGCAAATAATTTACTAGCAGGTGTAGCAGAGTAATAGAAATCCAACAGACCCAACAGTCATGACATGCATGCTGCTGATTCTGCGTAATTGAATCACTAATTGAAAGGGGCATGTTCAAAATAATAGCAGTATGGAGTTCTATTAGTGAGGTCATTCATTCTTTGAAAAACAGGTGGCAATTATTGCCCTTATTTAAGGAAGGAATGCAGCAAATGTTGTACATGCTGGTTACAGTGTATTTCTCTCTGAAATTCTGAGGAAAATGGGTCATTCCAGACATTGTTCAGAAGAACAGCGTACCTTGATTAAAAAGTTGATTGGAGAGGAGAAAAACATATAAAGAAGTGCAGAAAATGATAGGCTGCTCAGCTAAAATGATTGCAAATGCTTTAAAATGGCAACCAAAACCTGAAAGACGTGGAAGAAAGTGAAAAACTACTACCATTCCAATGGATAGAAGAATAGCCAAAATGGCAAGGACTCAGCCAACAATCAGCTCCAGGAAGATCAAAGAAGGTCTAAAGTTACCTGTGAGTACTGTTACAATTAGAAGACGCCTATGTGAAGCCAAGCTATCTGCAAGAAGCCCCCGCAAAGTCCCACTGTTGAAAAAAAGACATGTGCTGAAGAGGTTACAATTTGCCAAAGAGCACATTGACTGGCCTAAAGAGAAATGGCGCAACATTTTGTGGACAGATGAAAGTAAGATTGTTTTTTTTGAGTCTAGTGGCCGGAGACAGTTTGTCAGATGACCCCCAAACACTGAATTCAAGCCACAGTACACTGTGAAGACAGTGAAGCATGGTTGCGCAAGCATCATGATATGGAGATGTTTCTCATACTACGGTGTTGGGCCTATTTATCGCATACCAGGGATCATGGATCAGTTTGAATACATCAGAATACTTGAAGAGGTCATGCTGCCTTATGCTGAGGAGGAAATGCCCTTGAAATGGGTGTTCCAACAAGAGAACGACCCCAAACGCCCCAGTAAACGTGCAACATCTTAGTTCCAGACCAACAAGATTGACGTTATGGCGTGGCCAGCCCAATCCCCAGATCTTAACCCAAAAGAAAACTTGTGGGGTGGTGGGTGACATAAAAAAATGCAGTTTCTTAGGCAAAACCAAGAAATAGAGAAGAACTGTGCATCCTGGGCTGGAATACCTGTTCACAGGTGCCAGAAGTTGGGTGACTCCATGCAACACAGATGTACAGCAGTTCTAAGAAACAGTGCTTATACAACTAAATATTAATTGATTCAAAGGAAAGCAAAATCTTCAAACATTTTTCAGTTTATATAGTGAATGTTTGAGTTTGTAAAGAAGAATACAAACACTGCTATTTTTTTGAACAGTCTAATATTCACTTTTCTTCAATTTTGTTAGAGACACAACACAAATTTGATATATTTTTCTTCATTTTTGATTTGGAATAGAATGTGTAGTGTTCCCAATGCATTTGTGTGTATGGAAATAAAAGCTATTAGAAGGATTTTGAGCTTTATTCACTTTTTTCAACACACTGCTTTTATTTTGAACATAACTATATGTCCTGACAGGATACACATACAAGAAAAGCTTCCAGTAAGCTGGCAAGGCTAAAATTTAGTGCCACAGCTATCTGTGCCGTGTGTTCTTCGTGCAGAGGGTCAACAGCAGCATCGGTTAAACCCCTTCTAAGGGATTTTGCTCTGTTGAAAACGTGAGAACAGTGTTTTGGAAAGGGCTTCCAACCGCTTATTGGTTTAGTCCTTAAAAGCAGGTGTATTCTCCACTGGTATGGGAGTTACCTTAAGGCGGAACACTGCCTGATTCACAGCAGGAACAGACCATTTATTAACAAAATCCACACCAGATACTAGGCCAGCAAGCTCTTACGGGGAGCAAACAACCTATCAAAAGAGACTTCCGATCTTAGAAACACGGTGCAAAGGAAAAGTTCCCAGGCTGGAAACAGCACTGGTAGAAGCAAAAGAAGGATCCTAAAGATTTATTTATCCACAGAGCCCCTTGCCCGAAGGTCAGCTAGCCCCGCAATATCTAGTCAAATGGGGTTTAGATGTAGTACAGACAGCCAAGCAGCTGTGCTGGATAACTGCAAGTTGGAATATACAGGATAGTCTTGAAAAAAAGTGAAGAAAAGAGACTGCTAGGAAAAAAAAAAAAAAAAAGAGAGAGAACCCCCCCCCCCCCCCCCCAAAAAAAAAAAACAAACAAAATTAGTAATTAAAACAGTGGAGCTGAAGAAAAAGATACCCATCCTCCTACAACACTAGCAAAAGAACTGAGGCAGCGGCAGTATAGCACAAAAACTGGCTGTGTCTCCATTAGAGAGATTTCTCATTATGACCTACCCTGACAGGTTAGAGGTAATCTCTCCAAGCAATAAAGCCTGAGAAAGACTATAAGGGCCTGTGTTGATCGGCTTTGGGCTTGTTACGATGGTATCAGTTTGATATGCTTCTAAAAACATTTAAAATTGAATGAGAGGTGTACATGGCTTCCACTGGACCTCTTCAGTGTGATTTGAATTCCCAGACTTATGAGGGCATGCAAAACCTATCTGATGCAAATGAAAGTCTGTAGACACAGACCCCAAACATTTGCTGCACTAGCAAAAATGAAATAAGATTTGACTGGAATTAGGCTTAAAATGGCAACCAATTATTAGAATTAAACACTATGCCCCCAATAGCCGATGCAGCCTCTGTAGAAATGGGGGCAGAAAAGAACTCTATATAGTACTACTGTGGAGGATAAGCACTTTTAAATATGGTTACTGTGGTAATACGGAGGATGGGAGAAATAACCTCACATGGTTGATGAAAACACAATGGCATGGAACGCTCAGGGACAGAATGCTTCAAATGCATATTCAAAAAAAAAAAAAAAATTAAAAGGGGGGCACAGCTGAGAGTGCATTACAACAAAGGGGCACTGTCAACAACAGAAGCTTTACTGAAATTACAAAATAGGAATGAACAAGGCTCGAAGGCTGAATTCCAAATTCAGATTTGTTTGTGTGTGGGTGTAGAATTATCTGAAAAAAAAAAATTTTTTTGTAATTTTTCTTTATCAGTTAGGCCTCAGTCACACTCTGGCTCTTAAGAGAACGAATTAGCTTTTTGTTTTTGTGGCTGGAGTTGCCTAGAGTTGGAGGGACCCCTATACGCATGTCAAATTGAAATGTGCAGCTATGTTTATAATGCTTCTGAGCCCCCAGAATAATAGGCTGCTTGCATGCAGCTCCAGCCACAAACAAAAGGCTCATTCAAGCTTTACAGGCCACAGCGCACGTGTGAATGAGGTGTGAAGGCTCCTTCACATGTGCGCCTTTCTGAAAAGTAATATAGAATGGAGAAGGCGATGTGTGAATGAGCCCTGAAACAGTATATGATGGAAAAAGGAGTTCATTATTCGAAGACTACATTTTTCAATCCACTATCAGCTTATTGTCATAACATAGGTGACCTTGCTTAAATGGTCCAAGAATATGTACACAATCACACAAACATAGCATTGTTATCACTTAGAAGCTTGTGCTGTGACAATGTATTTACGAGACACCCTAATTTTAAAAAGCAAGTTGGTCATAAATGAGTGAAGTTTCACTCACCAGTCCATCTTTTTCCTCTGCCACTCTTTGATAATGTCCTGCAAGACTGGTGTAGTCCTCAACCTGTTTACTGCACTCAAGACACTTGAATCCATGGCGTATTAGTCCATATGGGTCTGCATAAAGTGGCATGGCTGGTGGAGCATAAGAAGAAGTCCCAGACCACACTCCAAGTGAAGTTGCTGGAGCTATGATTCGTTGAGTGGAAGTGGAAGGTTGAGAGGCAAGTGCTGTGGAAACCAAAGGTTGTGAAGCCAGCATCTGTTCTGAGGATATGGGCTTCATCATTAGCTGAGAGCACTGCATAATCAGTCCTTTACTCTTGTGTTCCCTGGCATGACTTAGCAGACTGCACTTGTTATAGAACTGAACCGTTTTAGAACACTGGGTACACATGACCTCAATATGGATACTCCTCCTGTTCTGGTGCTGCACAAGGCTCTTTTCCAAGGCAAATGAATCTCCACATTCCAGGCAAGTGTAACCAGAAGCTGGTAGAGAAATATTACAGTCAGGTGGGGGGTTCAAATTTGGGGTGTATGTTGGGACAGGGTTAGCACTATGTAAAAGTTTATTAAAAGCATCCACTATTACAGGAGCTGCAATTTTAACTTGATGTACAAGTGGCACTGCCATAGGAGCACTGTGTGTGTGTGTCTGTCTCAAAGGTGTAGCCTTTTGCCCCATACTAGTGCCAACACTATTGGGGACTAGGTTAAGGCTGGCAAGGTGGACAGCTTTGGGGAGTAAGCTGGTTGAACTGGTCGTGGCCTTGATAGGAGCGGATGACTGCTTCTTGTTCTGTGATGAACCAGTGTTCTTTGATGAACTACTGCCAGGGTTCTGAGGAACGGACGTTGGCGTGTTTCTTCTTTTTATCTCCTTTAGCATTGACTGCTTGAACGCTTGCTGCATTTTGCTCTTGATTGCTACCAGAACACTTTCCAGAGTTCTTTGGCCTTTCCTTTTCTGAATCTGCACTCTCTTCAACATTCACAAGTGGTTTAATATCTTCCCCAGATGAATTTTCACCAAGGAATTCCTCGGGAGATTTTACCACATCATCTGGCTCAACTTCTGGCAAAATTCTAGTTACAGTTCTTTTGATCTCACCAGATGACATTTTTATAGTCTTGATCCTGACTTTTGGTATTGCAGGAGGTGAGCCAGCACAGACTGATGGAGAGTCTTTGCTGCTGGTGTCACTGCAGACACTCATTGGGCTATCTGGATTTTTTATTACCTTTTTAACTACTTCAAGTGGACTCCTTGGGCTTTTTGGTGACTTCGGCATTTTTGGGCTTCCTTTAATACTGTCCTTTAATGGCATACTAACATCTTTAGAAATATTCAAGGGCTCCTCCTTTGGGACTACGGCAACTTTTTTGGCTTGCAATGCCACTAAAGCAGCTACACAGGAAGATAATTTAGAGTGCGCTGGCTTAATACGTTGTCGAGGTGGCACAGCTGAGGAACACACAGGTGATGTACCAGCCAAATTGCTATAAGTGTCCCCTGCACTTGAAAAGGCTTTCTCCTCAGAAATGCTGCCATCCTGAATATCCCCGAATGCCAGGGAAGATCCAAGGAAACTGTCGGTTTTATCGATATCCTTGCTTTGTTCAGCAGGTTTATTTTTCTCTGCTTCCATGCATTCTGATTTTTGTTCCTTTTTACAATATTCATCAAACATACTAAGCTCAGGCTCTGTAGATTTCCCTAATGAATCCACCATGCAGCCTTCTTCAGGAACATACATAGAAGGTTGTGGAAAGTAAGGAGATTCTGCTGCTTTTTGCTTGTTCAGCACCCCATCTTTTGAGTCTTCAGGTTCAGGGCTTGAAATAGGGCTGAACTGGCTAAAAGTTGGCAATGGTTCTGTTTTATGAGACTCTTCTTTTTCACCATAACCTCTAGAGTTATCCCCATTGATGAAACCAGGCTCAAATTTTCCATAGCCTGGCCCAACAGTGTGTGGCTCAGGACTCACTTCTGGACCACGAAACCCATTTTGAAGAAGCGTTGGACCCATGTGATTTCCTTCTTTTTCTGTTGCCTCAAATGACTCCTGCCGACTGGTGTTTTTCACAATCACACTTACTGCAGGTACATCAGGGGCTGACACAGACTGAGCCAATGACAGGTTCTCATCCAAACACATTCCTGAACTTTTGAGATGGTTCTCCTGCTCATCACTTGTAGACTGGATAGCTTCCTTTGGGTCCAAGCTTGTGGCATCAGGGATATCAAAGGCAGCAAGTAGATCGTCAAAGTCCGGAGTCTTCATGTCCCCCATGACTGGAAATATGACAAGATCTGAAATGGAAGTGAACAAAATGACTATGCCATACGTTTTAACTAAAAGTAATCAAAACAACGCTCTCAAATATTCTGAGAGCACTTAAAAAGTGTTCCTGTGTACACTTTTCCGCTAACCAGACCATTGATCCCGGCTTGGTACAGTCTGCAGTTCTTTCCATAGAAAACTGTGCAGCAGAGTACACTCACAATGCAGCAAATCATCCACTCCACACATGAACCGCACCCAGGAACACCTCTTCCAAATGGTCCTGGGCACGGTTCAATTAACCAGTCTTGGGCACGGTTTGGAGCACTCAAACCACAAAAAAGGGGTGCTAGTGTGAGTACACCCTTATATTAAAGGGTTTGTTCACTTCTAGTGGAAAAAACATTTCCTCAGATGAAGTTGTTCAGCAACTTCATGCTCAATCCCAGACCCCAGTGATCCAACTGCCTTTCAAAAACTAGATTATTAGATGTGTTACTAATCCCAGAACCCTGCATTCACTATATCCAGTCTCCCACAGCATGAAAATGCAATTATTGTAATAAATATAAACTGCTAAACACCGTTTTTCATCAGCAGTATATAGCAGTCTTGTGACTTCTATTAGTGTCCAGTTGAGCACTGGATAAGGCTTGGAGGAGTTTTCATTCTGCTCTGACTGTCCTATGAGGCTGCATGACTCTTGACCCTCTGTCTGGACAGTGCTGATTGGTCCTGTGCTGATAACATACACCCTTCCAAAGAAAAAAAAAACTCTCTAGCAATCCACACTAATCTGAGCATGTGCAGAGTGACTCCTAGGGCTCTGTACTATCAGCAGATGGATTAGGAACAGTAGGAGGGGAGGATCAGAGAAGACTGGATCAAACAGCCTTTTTACACAGGTTCCGCATGGAGTAGAACAAGCATACTTTACTTCATATACAGACTGATTTTACTGTTGTGGGTTTAGTAACACTAACTTTACATGTTTACTATTAATCATAACCACTCTGATCAAAGCCACATTTGTTGTAACGCTATCATGAAAAGCATGGCAATATGATTATAACAACATCATTAAAATATATGTATACCCCAAAAACCGATGACAATATGAAAAGGAGAGGAACTTACCAAGTGGGTCTATTGCATGGCTCCACTTTGAGTAGACACCTCACAAAGCCTATAAATGGATACCAGATTAGAAAATAAGTAATTTCTAACATAAAATGTTTAATTTACCTGAAAACAGTAACTTCAAGTACAATAATCACATATTAATACAGCATATCACAAATACATCCGTCTATCCCTTTTCCAAATACCATTTCTATTTCTTAAAACAATTAAACTCATCAAGAATAACAAATCATTCTAGAGTCCCCTGAAGGCACTCCTGACACCTCTTCTCTGACTGCCCACATAGTAAGCCGCATACTATGGGGGCACTTCTCTCAATGGCTCCCACTTCTGCCACGCCTCCCGTGAGAAGAGAGGAAAGAAAAGCAGCACTGCTGCAGATGGGCAAAGTGCTCGATCGAGATCTGCCTCAGGTAAGAGGGGCTGGGAGGGGGGAGCTGACATTTTTACCTTAATGCAAAGAAGGCAGAAAAAAAAACTTTTTTTTTTACCCTCTGTAAAAACTTAACAAAAGTTAAAATCGTATTTGGAAGAAAAAAAAAGTAGAAGGGCCGACTTGTATAAAGGCTCCTTGTCTACATTCCCATCGCACACTTTCCTGGAAACAACTCATCAACAGTGGGTGCTGTAGCGACTACCAGTTGGGACTAGAAACATCATAGGCAAATGTACATATTCGCCGACACGCCATGGATCTCCAAATATGGTCCAAAGAGATTTTTATTGCAAAGGAAATCACATCACAGAAGAAAGTGCAACATTTCTGAGCCACGCAGGACTACATCAGGCGTATAAGAGTGCAACAGTGACTATACAAAATATATATATACACAAACCACCAATCAAAACCAAGAACCCCCCCATCCTCTTGTCTCATTACATCATAATCGCGCCAAAATATACCACATTTCGTTAGGGAGAGTCCCAATGCTATGTTCATATCCCTATGCATGTTAAAAATCACCTATGGCAGGCCAAGCAGTTGTGGCTTAAATGTGTATTGTTGATTGGGCACACTAGCCAGATGTGCCAGATTGGAAAACACTGGCAAGTCTCAGCGTTGCCTTTGCTAGGCAAAGGAGGGCGGCCACCAATCCGGGTGTGTTTTAGTGCGACGCATGCGTGTCATGCGCACACAGTTACACGGCGGTAGGAGATGCTAGGCTGCTGTTGTCATGAAGACAAGTAAAATCAGTCCATTTGTCTGACTGGGGGCAGGCTCAGCTCCGGAGTGGTAGCTGAATAGAACACCAGAGTCAGTGATAGCCATGAAGAGAAGAGAAAACGGAGGTGAAAATACATAATGAAAGATGGAAAACTGAAAAATACCAGGGCTGAAACAAAAAAAAAAAGGAAAAAGACAGACAGCGCTGAGAAATAAAACAAGGACGTGGGGTGAAAAAAAAAAAAAAAAAAAAAAGGAAAAAAGGGAGATAAGCAAAATACATTGCAAAAAATATAGGGGAAATGGGGTAAAAAACAATGAAGGAAAAAAAAGGGGGGGGGGGGGGGGGACAAGAGGACAAAGCAAAAAAAAAAAAAAAGGAAGAAGAATGCAAAGGGGGTTATAAAGACAAGAAAAAAAAAAAAAGAAAAGAAAGAAGGGGGGGGAGGGGTGGGGTGGGGTGTTGTAAAGGAAAAGGTGAAAAAAAGGGGAGGAAAAAAAAAAAAAAAGAAAAAGAAGAAATTGTGAAAAAAGCCACACAAAATAAATAAAAAATAAAACAAAATTCATAAACAAACATAAAAAAGTTACTAGAAAAAAATAAAATACATCAAAATAAAAAAAGTATGAAAAAAACTCAAGAGGGGGGTGAGATGGAAGAACAACAAAACGAAAAAAAAAAAAAAAAAAACTCTCAAAAACAAAAAACGGGGGTGGGGGGGGGGGGGTTAGGGGAAAAAAAAACAAAACAATAACAAAAACACACACTTGCCCCTAGGGACTAAAGACCTCACATACCTGTAACACTTCCCTCATGATTTAATTCAGTCAAACTGGTCATCAGGTTAGAGAACCGTATGCGGATAATTCCAGTGAAATTATTGTCAGCCCAAACAGGGAACACGATCAGCTGTAGAGGAACAGAGTTGGGGCTGCATAGCCAGGCCAATACTCATTTAGTGGGCAAGGAGAGAAAAGGAAAAATGAGGCAGACATAGTGAAAACACTGTATTCACTACAATGCCTAAACATAGCCGACCGTGTGTATCCAGGTCAAAGGGAAACTGGTGTCAGAGAGAAATTAAATAGGTATTACATATCAATTAGATTACTATTAACCTGCACTCAAGACAGTAATTCTTAGTGACATAAATGATCTGTGAAAACCAAAAAACTGTGTATACAGAATATCCCAATACACCACGTGATATAACTTAATGTTAATTAAATTGCTAAAACAAGGGCTGCGGCTCCTATAAAGGGTACTACCCTCACCAACTATCCATCATACATTTAAGAGCGCTGCCTAGTGTAGCATGTAAAGCCAAAGCAAAAAAAACCAACCAACACATATTATACATATATTATATTAAAGTCCTTGGTGTCAAACTTATTCCTGAAACAGTGCACGTGCTGCTTCCATTTAAACTCCGTGATTCATGCTCTGTGCTCCCCACCAGTGGTCCCACTCACTCACCAACTGCTGTGGACTCTTATATTTACACAAAAGTCTGGCTTGCTTTGGTGGGGCAATATCTGGTTCTGCTGAGTCTTGTAGTCCTCCTAGGATCGGCTGTACTTGTCACCATCAATCATCCCGGTGTGTCAATGGAGTCCGCACATTTAAGGAATGGAGGAAGGTATTCAGATAGTGTAATACCGTTTATTAAGATTTAAAAAAATGTATATATATTCCACTCGCATAGCTCCAGAAAAAAAACAGACATAAAACGGTGGCCTAGGAAGCAACGCACTTCCGTGCGTTCCAACTGCCAGATACGTCACCATTTTGCCCCTCTCACTGGGTGTCCTCAGAGGTATGGAACTGTGGTGATAGGCGGACAGATTTATATAATATAACCCCTCCTACTACACTCAACCCTATGTGCCCTAAACCGGATATATAGCTGTGGGCATCTTGGTATTCTCATTCCTATATTCGGAAAACGGATGTGCCATGGACCGGATGTGTGCCCACAGCCATCTTGGTACTCACATGGGCATACACCTCAGTTCCCCCTATCTAGTTTATGGCTCCGGCTTGGTTTACAAAGCAAAATAGAGTGCTATATGCAATAACAACTAATATTGATTACAGGTGTGTAAATGCATCATGTAAAAATATACCACCTGATAAATATTCCCCGTCATTACATTTAAATTCTTATTAAACTAAAAAACTTTTAAAGCTCCCCCTATTGGTTAAACATTGTTATGTTTTTCTCTCATAGATAAATACATAGTGTTGATGAATACAGTTGCAAGAAAAAGTATGTGAACCCCTTGGGATTACGTGGAGTTTTGCATGAATTGGGCATAAAATGTGCTCTGAACGTCATCTAAGTCGCAACAATAGAAGAACACAGTCTGCTGAACATAATACTACACAAACATTAGATGTTGCCATGGTTTAATTGTACATAACGTAAACATTTCACAGTGCAGGGAGGAAAAAGTATGTGAGGCCCTAGCTTAATGACTTCTCCCAGAGCTAATTGGAGCCAGGAGTGAGCCAACCTTGACTCCAATCAGTGTGATGATATTGGATGTGTTGCTGACAGATGTCCTGCCCTTAAAAAACACACACCTGTTTTGGGTTTACTGGTTTCAAGAAGCACTGTCTGATGTGAACTCTGATGCCTCGCAGAAAAGAGCTCTCAGAAGACCTACGATCAAGAATTGTTGACTTGCATGAAGCTGG